GGTTCTCCAGCATGCGGCTGGCTATACACAAGCACCACAGAGTGAGGACACATGGTTATTTGGATGGACACTTCATAGTCAGTCTGTGGGTGGTGCCGCTAGGTTTTTTTAGAATAGCTGGTTGCAACACAGCTGGAAGTGACTCTGGCCTTTTTGCAGGAGGTTGTTTGGGGTTTTGGCGCAAACCATGAGGGATTGGTCAAAACATGTCAAGACCATTTCATATGAACTTCGCTAGTTTGGCGTTGGCACCAGGCCAGGTGTAGTTATTGGGGTCTCATACCGGTCCGAGTGGATATCTTGTACACCTAATAGCATAGCCACGGTCGCCCGAGAACGACTGCCGGACTCCACCTGTTTGGCAGGTTGGTGTTTTCCACTCACGGATGCAACAGTGGAAATATGCAGAAATCAGATGAAATCCGTGGATGACGTGTAGTCTCCCACACACCCTCGACCTCGTCTCCCCAGAACCCAAGAATCATCTGCCCCGCAGGTTCGAGCTCTTTGTCGCTTTCCTGGTGGCTTCGAACTTCTTTACCATGGCAGCTGAGCGACTTGGCTGGAACAACCAGGTCACTTCTGTATCGGCCGCCTGGTTTTGGATCGTTTTTTCTGAGGGTCGGGCTTTCAGGAGACGCCCAGAAGGAATGGTCGAACTCTGAACATATCTAAAGTCATGCGTTTTACATGTGTTTTACATGCATCTCAGACGTGTTTTGCATGCATCTCTCACGAACCACTGGTGGATGTTCAGATGCTCAGCGTGTTGCGGTTCGCCAGATATCGCCATCATCACTCGGTCTGACTGTTGGGTGTGACCCGACTTCTGACTCCCTGCACTGAGGATCCAGTATGATGGCCTTCAACTGGGGTATGTGGCCTGGCGAGAGACTGACTAGCGTCATCGGAGGACGATTTCTCATCATTTCTCCCTGTTGGGAAGCCCTTCCCGGAGACCACAAACTGAAAGAGGGAAACCATGGGAAAGCGCTTTGGGTCGACTTGGGCTGAACGAGCGAGGCCCACAATATGATCCAATCCACTTGTTTTCCTATCCTATGAAGGGGGTTTTCCTGAAACCCTACGTTTGGGGGGGACAACACACCTCGATCCAACATGGTTCAACCTCATGCATTTAGGAAACTGGTAGACCCCGGTAGACCCCCCCCAAACCCATCCGCACCTCAGAAGGTATAAATAGTTGGACCCCAGCCAAAATCTACGACATCCCCACCATCGCTGGATCCCACGATCTCATCCACAGGAGTTGGGCCATCGCTTTATGACGATGCCTGCGAGTGAGTTCTGGCCGGGTGCCGAGGAGGTCTTTCAGGCACGACGCGGTGCCACGCACGCGGTGCTGCGGCTCGATGGCTCGAATCGTCAGCCGTTCCAACGGTGGTTTGAAGAACCAGTGAACCGAGTCCTTCAACACCTGAGAGGTGAGGAGGTGAGACTCAGGTGAGAGGTCAGAGGATTCTGCAGTGGGAACCTTTTTGTGTGATTTGTAGGTCCACTCGAGTGAGGTCAATTTTTTGATCTACCATCGATGGAAGATGCCGAATTATATATAATACATAGCCTGGTTAATGGCGGTTAAGGGTGTCCCAAAACCACCGGACTTGGAAGCTCCTGAGCTTTGTGAGCCACCTGTTCTTCACTAAAAGAGCCCGAGCTTCCAACACATGTAAACACTGCGCGGCGCAGTTCTTTCGCACGGCCTTCCTCATCGCCTTCACGACCGAGATTCTGCTGCGGATGATTTTCCTCCGGGCACGAGGGGGCGTGTGGCGTGAACCCGCGCTGGGCGGCGAGGGGTCCTCGCGCTGGGCGGGTGGAGAGCGGGGATTACTCTCCGCAGCGCCCAAGAGTGACCTGAAACCATGTATCCTGACATGTCCTAACCAGGACCTTCCAACAGGTCACCTGCGACTTTTAAGTCTACAAAAGCCTCCATTTCGGCGACGGAAGGTGGGAAGGTATAAAGAACGCCAGTCTCGGAAAGTCGTCAGAATTGGAGTGTGGCTTTTACTTCGGCCCTGAGCTCCACAGCACTTCGGTGCATCGAATCAGATCCCATCGGCAGAGTCCGATGGCAGCTCACTCTTTGCAGTGAACCATTCCGAATTGGACACATGACCCGTGGTGCAATGCTTTTGCTTCTTCTTTTCAATGAATTCAAGGGGTGTCAAAATGGTTCAAGTGTTCAAGCCGCTGGTCTTCCGAAGTGGTTGCAGCCGCCAAAGAGGCTCCATAAAATGGTCGGTTTCCTTCATTGTCTTTTTTTGATCTGGCCCATACTGTTTGGACCTGACTCCGTCCTACTTACTGTAGTTCATCTTAGTTCCATCAAATCTCTTTGTTGGGCATAAGACCAGGAGCAGACATGCAAAGAGGCTCACGGGCATGCATGCCCCAACCGCTGGAACCGCAACCGCACCTGGTGTTCTCTTCCCTTCCTTCCTCTGGTTCCGTTCGACGAACAACTCACCGGAACCCGGGGAGACCTTCAGGCGAAGTTTTGCAAGACAGCTTTCAACATTATCGATTTTGTGGCCCTTTTGGCCTCCATCATCGAGCTCTTCAGCCCCGAGCTTAACGCCGCGCGCGCGATCGATGGCGCGAACGCCCAGCGCGCCACCCGAGACCTGCGCCTTTGTCTCGGTCCGTTCGTGTGAGACATGGGCGATGGAGTGAAGAGGACCTCACAAGGGAATTGCCACATTGGAAGATGAGGAAGCTTCGGGTGATCAATCGGAAGGAAGGACTCTTGGAAACTTTAAGATGTATGAAGCTGAGGAGTTGGCCTTGAAATTCCATGGCAATTCATTCCTTTCAGAGATCTGTACTGTACTCCCTCCACTCCACCGGGATGTTGGACGTTGGTGATCCCATCGCGTGGATCGGTGCCGCGGGATGTTGCCCAAGTCGGCGGGGGCTGAGGTTTGAATCTTCCAGTGGATCCTACCTTACTTCGCTTGTGTCGTTTAGCGAAGCTCTTCAGGAGCCGGAGCCCGCTGGTGTGGAGCGAGCGTACTCGGACTTCGCCTGTTGGTTTGGTATTTTGGTCACTGGCCAGCCATGTTAAATTTGTCAAAATGGTGTCAGGTGGCCCTGTGAGGCCTTATCCAGCTGTTCATTCAGTAAGTTGAATAAAGATCAAGTTCTGTAGCTTGGAAGTCAAAGACAAACATAGCAGCTACATGCAGGCTATTGGTATAAAAATTCAGGAACACCAGTAACCTAGCTTCCGGCACCGCAGAATCTTATGTGATGGTCTGGGTTGTGTCACTGGTCAGCTATACTATACATTTCGATACTGTAGAACGCTTGGTATGCAGCAGATTGGATTGGCAATCTTTGTTTGGCATTTCGTGAGAGAATTGTGGACCAAGATGGACAAGACATAACAAAACATAGTTCCAAAGGGGTGCTTAATGGAGGTTAAGGGTGCCCACAACATCCACTCACTGGATGGGACTAAACACCACCCCCGTCTTGTGACTCATATTTTCATCCTCGCAAAATCAGGAAATTCATCGCAACACCCGCTTCAGTCCCGCCGTTCCGTCCTGTTCTGCAGGACCATCCGAGTCTTACGGGTCTCTGGAATGCTCGACTCCTTGAGCATGTTGGCACGCTGTATGAGCTCCAGTGGCCTCCAGACGGCGAGGATAAGGGCGAAGAACTGTCTTCCTGAATGGTGGGATTCAGTTGGCAGCTTTTTGGGGGGGTGTTCCGTTTGGGAAGATGGGTTGTTGGCAAAAGAACTGTGGGTGGCAAGTAGTAAAGTGAACAGAATACCTCATTGATTGTGATATCAGAGCTATTCAGAGCTAAATGGTACATAAGTCCATTGTATATATATATATATATAATAATAATACAATAAATTGTTACAGCATAATCATTAATTATATATTGCAACTTTTGTTTTGGGGATCCAGTGCGCGTGTCCCAAATGGTTACCTTCAGCTACACCTGAACACAACATGGGGTCACCTAGAAGGATTTCTGAGATGTGGTATAAACCAGTGGGATTCATATGCTCAAACGTTCTGTTGTTCTCTCTGAGACTGCTGTGGCACAGAAACTGAACATCATAGTCTGCAGCATGGTGAAACAAACACATGAATGAGTAAACCTATACATGTTCTATATATGTGTTCTACTTTCCTTGCTACATGTTTGAATCGAGTGACGTGACTCCTGCTCACACCAGTGCCCCCGCTGTTTAAGGACTGACCTTGATTTGGTCCTTGCTTTTTCTCCTCGTCATCCAACTCATTGCTGCGATGATGGCCACTGGACTCCGACGCGGGGCACGCGCGGTGGTGACCAGGGACCCTTTTGCGTGGAATCATTTATTGGAGCCCGTTTCACAGAACGTGAAGTGAGGGAAGGGACAAACTGCGCAAAATGGAAGAGTTCAACTCTCAGCTCGGCACCTCAAAACATGTATCCTCAACTCTTAAGGTCTGTGTTGCGATGGTGGGAGTGACCATTTGTTTACGACAAGTGTTGCTTGGGGACTCACTTTATAGCTTCATGTATGAGTTAAAAGAAGAGTAATCACCTCAACTTTGAAGGGATTCAGCCTATTGACAAAGATTCATCTCATTTCTCCGGATTTGGCAAGTAGCACTTTCTTCCAACTGTCTTCGCGTGAGTGAAAGCCGGGTCACCCGTGGTCGTCGCACGCACCACCACCAGGCGCAGAGCTGTTTTTCGACAGTGCTCGGTGGTGGGACCCTCCCCTAAACCCCGTGCTCCTCGGAACATCGGCACCCTAAACCCTAAACCCTCTTTCCGTTCCACAGGACCTGGAAGGACTCCGAAGTGAGACTCGCGGTTGGGTGGTTGGAACAGGGGGGTTGTATAGGTAAATATTCCATACATGGAGTGTTTGGGAACGAAAGCTGCCCTGGAAAAAAAAAGAAAAACACACACATGCGCGGTTCTGCCGTTCTAAGAACCGTTGTTCCGAGGTCTGCCTCATGGTGAGGCCCTACTTGAATGATATCAGCAATGATGAGGGCGAACGCTATGCCGTGTATCGCTACTATGGCAACTCGAAGAAGATGCGGCGGCTTTCGCGGGAGCGCGAACGAAGGAAGGTGAAGAACTGGTCGTCTTTGGCCAAGACAGAGTTGTTTGGACTGATGTTGACAGGTCAAATGGGCACAGGGGTACTGGGATGGTGTGGGGCTTTCCAAACATCAGTGGGCTTGGGAGAAACATTCTTCAGAAGCACTGGCGTTATGTGTATTTTTTTTGAACAGGGGTTCATATGGCAATGGGTTAATAATGGTCAAAGGTAGATCTTCCAAATCGAAATGGAGAGTTTCGGAGTTTGGGGTTGGGCAATTGCTCATCGGTTCAATCTGAGCCAGTCAACAAAAATCACAAGTCCCCCGACCCACACACAGCTTCCTCCATGGTTTCTTCCTCCATGGCAAGTGTTTTTTAGGATGTCCAAAGCCGTGGCGTGCTAGGAACTCCTGACAGGATTGCCCAGCCCAGCAATTTTTGACCTCACCTTGACTGCAGGCAAAAGTGAAGCATGGAACGACGACTCAAACTATTTAGATCATACTTGATCAAAGTTAGATTTATAAGCAGTCGATCATACTTGATCATACTTCATTTGAACTGAATTCCGACCAGTCGAAGACCGTAGACCGTCCCACACCACTTCGGCAAGCCCGCCGCTCCGCTCGAACTCATCTTCTGCGGTCCTTTGAGCAGCGCTACCGTGCTGGGGGGCTTGATGTTTTCGGACTATCTAGAGGTCTCCGAAATGGTGGCTGAAATGGAGACATATATATATATATATAAACTTTGGAAAATTAGCAGGTGGTGAGCTGACAGTGAGGATGCTGGTATGGAAGAGTGAGCCAATTTTGGAGCCAATGTTCGCCCTTAAATTCCTGTCCCGACGTGTCTTTTTTTGGGTCGTGTACGATCGAGGGTCGTTGCCACGAAAACACGAGGAACCTTTTCGGTGGCGGTCTTGACCCTGTTCGAGGCGGGTTCAGAAAGCCAAGACGGCGAACCGCGTTTTGCGGGTCTTTTGGACAAACAGCGCACATGGTGGAGGAAACCCAGTGGATCCAGGCAAACCACTAGATTGTAATATATTTCCTGGTTCTTCAAAGTGACCTTTTGATAACCTGGTTTGAGGTCACTTAAGCCTCCTAAGGGTCACTTAGGAACCTTCAAAAGGTCACTTTGAAGAAGCTGGTTTAGTATAGTATTACAGGTCCCAGTGGTTTCATGTAGACTTAAACCGTAGACAACCTAGAAACCCCGGTTCCTGAAAGAAATGTTACTAAGGAAGGCATTCAAGTGTTCATGGCCGTTTGAAGCTCAGAAAACTTGCCCTCCATGACCACAGGACCACAGGACCATCAGTTTGATCGACCGTGTCCAGTCGATCCATCGCCTTCTCACTCTCAACTTGGCGTCCGTTGACGGAGAAGGGTTCCAGCGAGGACGGGTTCAGCGGAGGAGAGACCGCCGCGCCTTGACTGCCTTTCTCCTTGATTCCATGGCATGACTCGACTCGATCAAGGTCTCAGACATGGAGGTTTGTTAGGACTTGTTAGGACCTCACTCAATTGGTGGCCTGCCTGTTGGAGGGTGGTATACACCAGCAAGGGGCCAAGCAAGTTACGTCCGAGTCTTTGGGGGACACCTGCCCACTTGAGCTGTGGGAGTGGGCTGCTTTTTTCATCCACAGCTTGAAAAAAGAAAACACCCAAGAAAATAAACATCCTTTTCTGAGCTGCGCTCCCTGCCTCGCTGGTTGCCTTTGGTCTTCTTCTTCTTCTTCTTCTTGGGTCGCTGCCACGCAGGTCTTCTTTGCCAATTGGTCACCGGCATGTCGAATCCTCACTGACAACGTCACAGAATGGTATTCGCTGCTTGGAGAGCGTTTCAGGGAAGCATTTGTTACTCGCCGCTGGTTTGCTTAACACACTTTACTCTTATTGTCTTGAAACTTATTCCCGTGCTGTTGCTCTTCTTGGCTTTTGGGATTGACTTGGGGGTCTGAGCAGGATCAGTCTGGAAGGGAAGCTGAAATTTTGGTCAATGACAAAGTCATTCCTATCGCTAGTAGGTTGGAGGCCATCGCTAGTAGGATGGAGGCCATCGCTAGAAGTAACAAAAAAGCCCTGAGCTTCCGAGATTTGTGCAGACTTTCTCTTGTGGGTCCTGAGCAGGATAGCCCAACCTAGCCCAGGATAGCCTAACCTCCATGGACACAGCAGTCCCAAAAGCTCCTCTCCAACTCCCTCAGCTCTTGCCATCGCTTTCTCTTTTGTATAGTGGTCCCCAAAAATAGATAGTGGCATGATGTCCAAGTCATTTTTAGTGGGGATCTACTTTTCGATCTATTGTCAGTATAGTATATATTAGATGATCCCTGGAATGTTTGTATGCCTGGTGCCATCGTTCGCTGGGCCACAACTCGGTGCTTTCTCGAGGCTTCTCTTCTTGATCTATCGCTGTGCGATCGGCTTCGCGGTGATTAACGCCCCTCCAGCTGAACCAGCCGTCCCGGTGGGCGAGACTCCAACTAGGCTGGCAGTGCTTTGTGTCAAACAGCGTTTGCACGTTTTCACCAGAAGTGGGGTGTTTCTAAAGGGAAGACTGAGTCGACTCCGGACCTGAGTCGAAAACCGCTGCAGATCAGAAGGTGGGTCCTTTTCCACATTTCGATCATGATAAGTCTTGTGTTTTGGAGGTTTGGGTGATTGCTTTCTGATGATCGTTTCCTTTCTTTCCATTTTGGGGTGCCTCCCTCAAGCCTCCACCCCGCCCACCCCGCCCACCCGAAAGACGCCGAGGTCGTCAACGCCGTGTTCGTACAGCAAACGCTGCAAGTCGCGAAGGGAGATGAAGAGGTCCTCTTCTTGGAGAAGCAGAAGGCAGCCGCTGTTTCGGCATCCTGTTGCGAGTCTTTCCTGCAAAATTGCCGCTGGATTTTGTGAGTTCCAACCAGAAGAGCGTCTCCCCCCAATCAAGATCTCGCACCTGCCCTAACAGTCCAAAAGTCGACGGAAAGCCACCGCATGTACACATGACCCCATCCACGTACATCCTGTTCTATAGGCTCAGGTCTCCCTAGATCTGACTATGGCGACGAGGCATACATGGCCATGCTCTCCACTTCAGGAAGACAGCTTGAAAAAACCGCCTCATCAAAACGAAGCTTTGTCCTGTGAGGCTGAAGAGAAGTATTTCAAGAACGTGGCGAAGATCTTCACCAAGCTGGACACTTCAGGTGTGTTCCGGAGACGTCAACGCGTACCTTCGGACCGCGCCTTGGGACCCTTGAGACCCCAACATCTCCATGAAGTGCTTTTTCATTGAACTAACAAGCCCTAGGGCTCCAGTCGTAGCTTCGTTTCGGTTGGGTGGGACTGGGGTGGGTGCCATGTTCGGGTCCAGTCATACCGAACCTGAGGAGGTACGACTGGAGCCCTAGGGGAAGTAAAACTCCGCAAAGAACACCCACACAGATGACAGACTGCAGACCACGGCTGTAGAGCACATGACACCCGGCTGCTTTGAGCACGCTCCAACGGTCCCTGAAAGATGGTCCTTGCTGACGCTTCGGAAGGGAAGGGAATCCAGGAATCATCAAGAATCCCTCCGTGCTGTAGTGACGACATGACTATACATGACTACACGATTGATCCAATTGAGTGCAAGAATCAATACACTCCCTGAGATGACAATTTTTCTCTACAAACGTATGGTGCACTCCACTTCCATGATGATTGCATGGAGTGTAGATCTCGGTGGTCGCCGTATCATTAAAAAAAGACTTCTTCACAGCAGTTTTCAAGCTTTGCGGAAGTTTTTGAGGTGATGGACTTCTCTCTTGGGGCGAGTTTGAGCAACTGTCACCTGGCAGAACTTCACAGCGTTTGACAGAACATGGGCTGCCCATGTTCTTTGCTTGAAATCCCACTTGGTCCGCGGTGTTGTTTGTCAAGTTAACCAGACGATGATGGGACGAAATACAGAGAAGTCGAAGGGCTTGGAAAAATGCGTTCCATGCTCTTCCAGCAACTTAGCAGCTTGAAAGACTACTTTGGACGTGAATTGAAATCGAAATCGAGTGTAGACTCCGGCGGCTGGACAAATACCATGTGGTATCGGAGAATTAAAAGACCAAATACCTGGAACTTCCTCAGAGTGTTGTTCTTTTTTAAATCTGCGGTGTGAAAAACATCTTGTGGAGTCACAGCCTTATCTTTGTGTCTGCGGATGTTTCAGGATATGTCTCAGCTTTGTTTTTTCTTTTTCTGATATTCCACGGTTGTTTATGCACAAGCTACGGGCGTGTATTGGTGAGCCACGGGCGTTTTTTCCCGAACTAGTATTTTTTTGTTAGCAGACGTTTATTTGGGTTGCGGATGTTTATGTGGTGCACAGACCTAAATAAACGTATATACGTATGTTGAACTACCGACCAACAAAAAGCAACCACAAGGTTGCAGGTATATATAGTATTGATAGATTGTTCTATTTGTAGTATTGGGGACAAAATCCATTGGCATCACTTTGTATAATTCTGAACAGATACAAAACGCATCCGTTGACGAGGGGGGCCGTTGACACGAGCAGTCGTCCAATGATGGATGCCTTGAGTCGATCAGATGCACACACCAGCTAGATAGCCAAGGCTTCTCAGAGACGTGGATTTGTCACGGTTGGGATGTTGTTTCACAAGAAAGTGTTTTCAACACAGTTAAGAACATGTTTGAAGAAGAGAATACGCTAGCATAGATCCCAGATAGCAAGCTAGATCTTTTTGTGGGCAGCATGACACCCCCACCCACTCTACCACAGACAGCGCACTGCGAGAAACATTTGGCAGCGGTGCCCTGCAGCGACACGCAGGCTCCGAAGCTCAAACTGCCATAGATATCTGGCAACCTGCAGCGGCACCAGCGCACAGGCTCAAAGCGCAGACAGCCACGCACATGTGTCACCATGCAGCGGCACCTGCACACAAGCTCGCAAGTGCACACGGCCATCGACATCTCCCAGCAGCACCCAGCAGCGGCACCAGCACCCAAGCTCCAAAGCGGACACAGGCACCTCTTCCCATACTTTAAGTAAGAACCCCAATAGCTCTCGCTACCTGTGGAAAATGTATTAGTTGAACACGCATGCCTTTTGTTTCACGTGCCTCCAGATGTCACTTGGGTGACAAGGATTGGACATGGGGACCAAGCCATCCAGTTCACATTCTACTGGGAACGACTCAGTTTGACCGTCGCTCAAGTTGCCATGACATGCGTCCGAATAGACACTTCGAGTCCCCGGAACATAAGCAGGAGAGTCACGAAAGCACTCAGTCAAATGGTTGAGGATTCAGTCATGGGCTATTGGGTTTAGGGAACTACTGTCAGTCATGGCATTACTACTTGCCAATCGCTACTGTCGCATTAAGGTTGGAAGACCCCAAACTTCGATTCCTGCTGGACAAGCTGGAAATCGCTGCGGGAGATGCTTGGACGAGGGGGCCCCGCGGAACGGCTTCAGCGCCATGGGCTTAGCCGGTCACGAGGCTTCGCTTTTGGGCCAAGCCGGAGCTGTTTTGGTCCCTCAAATCATCGAATATGATCTGGTGGGTAATTATCCCAGTCACTCCTTCTATTGACCCAATGTATGTAAATATATGTGCCAGTTCGATTAGTTGCGTTTAGGTATGAGAAAACCCCATCAAAATGTTCCATGAAGTTTCCTGCACCAACTTAAGGAGGCAGGTTTTGCACTCATCAAAAACCTGACGGATTTTTGGCGACAAAACATGGCAAAACCAGATCAACCATGTCTTGAATGGTCTGACAGAAGGCAAACGGGAATACGTTTGCTGCTGTAACCGGGCAAAACTTTAATTTGATCAATGATATCCCAAGTGGATTTGCAATTGAGTGGATTTCCAATGGAAACTCTCGCCTGGTCGTTGGAACAATGCCCCAAGAATGATCAAGTCGACAGATCGCGGATCGAGTATTGTTTTTGTGCATGTGTGGGGAATCACTTCGAAACTTATAACATCTTATAAGCACATGAAACATACAACATTTTGTTGAGTGCCCGATGCGCACCCCGACTGCGCGGGTGTTGAGGACTTAAAAGTCCTCTTCGACCTTTTGGATGACACGGGCGACGGGGAGATCTCAGCCCCTCAGCGCTGTCAGTGTGGTGGCGTCGAATCTTCGCCAAGAGCTGTTTTCTTTCACTGATGAACAGATGGTTGCAGCGCTTATACTGAAAAAAAGACGAAATAATATCCATCCGGGTGATTGTGTGGATGGTGAGGAAAACACCGAACACTGAACAATACTGAACACATCTGAACACCCTTAAGAAACATAAGGAACAAAACACACACAATATGATCGCATTAGGCTTATGATTGCATGTAATGTGTTTATATGGTCGGAAAGCCAAACGTTGAGACACGCCATCTTGGAAATCCAACGTTTGGCACCTGAGATATGGGTGAGAAGACCCCAGGGGCGTCGTAAGACTTTGGCAATGTTTCATTGGTCAATGTAATATGACGATTGGGATACCCACCCCCTTTCTTAATTCTATCTAGGGCTGCCCTACCCAAAGTTTTTTCGGCATTCACCCAGCAAGAACCACCCAACACTGGGTAGTGGTTCTTAGAGTGTTTCTTCAGGTCGCAAGGTTTTGAAGTGCATGTTCCAAGCACCCACTTGGCAATCTGCAAAGAATTGAGGTCAAGCACAGGTCTCAAAGATCAGAGCGTCAACAGCATTAGACTTCTTGCCCCCAACGATCTCAACTCCCCGACCTGGTCGACATGTCTCCGCGCCTCCCAACGACTCGCCTTCCTCGTATACCTCAAACCGTTTTGCTGCATGGACGTCAGGTGGAGGAGTTCATCGAAGGTGTGACCCGCTTTAAGGCCCCGTTCAGCGAAGGATTGTCCTCGTTCGTGGAAGGGCTTGGGCTTCTTTTTCCTCGACCTGCGGCGTTTTGGCGTTTTTGGTTGAGAAGTGCACGGATGTGGACAGTGACGGTATACTTGACTGCGTTTTTAGAGACCATCTGTGGGGGGGATTGGCTTCCCCACCTTAAATCCCGGGACGGATTATATCAGGGAGGTCAACCTACAGGGAAATGGAGCTGCAGGTTTTGACCCACTTCCAGATCAATGGGCTAATATACAACCTGCTTGGTTTGTGCCAACTCCGACAGACAGGCGCAGCGCATGACGCACGGCACGCTCAGCCATAAAATTCGGGTGACAGTTGGTGTCGTGCATTGGGTGGATGGTGAGATTTCTTTTTTCAGAACTGCGGTTGTGCCGGTACCGGCAGCTCTTCATGTCGGAGACTGGTGTCAGTTTCGTTTAGATGTTCAGATGATGTGTTCATTAGTATGTAAGTAGCAAGGTTTGTTGCTGAATGCTCTCCCTGAGCTCAAAGAAAGCCGCCACACGTCACACATCCTGGAACTTCCAAAAAGTTTGTCGATCTCCAAACAGATGCTGAATCCCAAAACCTCTTGCAACAGGTTTGTACTCACTGTTCTAGATATAGTTTGTAAGACTCAGTCAGATGTGTTCATCCCACCGGGTGAAACCCCGTGCGCAGGGGGGCGGCCAAGAGTCTGGACGTGGGACAAGTCTTGCTTCGCGCCCGGCGCATGGAACGACACATCGTCAACGTGGAGAAGTCCCTCGACCGAAAACAACCCGCGACGACCGTCGCGTCGCACGCGGGACTCGGCGCCAACGAGCGGGTGAGCAGCGCTGGCGCCATGCTCGGGTTAGCAGCGCTGCCTTCTGTTTTGGAGGAGTTTGGTGGTTCGGTGGTCCTTCTATACTTCCTTCTATATAGGGGTCCATGGGGCCTCACCATAGCTCAAAAGAGGGTGTGTGTGTGGGCCGTGTGGGCCTCTTTGCTGGGTGGCAATTTGGGAGCTGGAAGACAAGCGAGATTAACCTATTTGTATTGTGGGGGGGTTGGAGGTTCAGACCGGAAAAGAGATGATGTCAATATGACAGGTGGATTCTCGTTTGCTGACTGCTGGATGTAATATGATGCAATGCTCTCTCTCTCTCTATAGGATTCTAAATAGGTATTGAATTCTCATGGAGTGATTTTAAGAATGTCAGTTGAAGAGGAGTTGCCCTTGGGATCCTTTCTGAGTTTGCCAACTCTTCGAATCGGACATGGCGACACGGCGACCATCCAGACTGGAATTCGTACTTACATCCGAGGGTCATTTTCATGGGGTATAATTAGTAAGTATTCCATACACTATTCCAGTCTCATGGATGGTCTGGGGATGACAATGGCCCATTCCCAAAAAGGTTCAGCCATGTTGGGCCTCTACTGCCTCGGGCGGTTCGCACAAAAAGAGGTCTCTCGACCCACCGAAGAGAAGATTGGAAGGATACAAGAAGCCATCGTATCAGAAGGGATATAAGGATTTTGTGAATGATTGTGATGACATGTTAAAGCTACTAGGGGCTCCTGGCCGTACTACTAGTAACAAGAAGCTCTGGAAGCATGGGTATACCGGTCTACCCGACACGCCGGACGCACAGAGCAATGCGACCGACAGAGGGAACCACGATGAATGCTCCGCATGTCCTCGTCTCGGGATGGACGTCCCGTGTCTCCGCACCAGGCTGTTGCTGCATCCCAACGACGATGAGTTGAAACAGTTGGTGGCGAAAGCAAGCAAGGCATGAGGGCAGTGAAGTCCTGGGTGCGATGGGTGGGTGGTATGGTTTTGGAAGTCCTGAGCACTTCAGGTTAGAAGCGAAAGCAACGCAGGTTAGCTCCCTGTTGGATTCATGTCTCTTCCCTCTGGATATTCCGGTTTAGGACTCAAGCTAAGATACCCGTTTGGAATGATTCTTTTAGAAGGGTCATTCATCAAAGTCGTGTGTTTCCATGTGTTTCCCAGATTCCTTCCTGAAGTATAGTATAGCCTATAGGATGTGAAGCTTTGCAACCTCAAACATGCCCGAGCTGCTTTGTTCGGAGCTGCGGCCATTCGCGCAGATCTTCTGATGATCTTCTGGCGTAAAACCCTTGAAGCAGGGTGTCGAACACTCCCACACGTTAAGCGCACTGCGCTCGGCTCGAAGTTCTTCGCACCCTTGTGGTCCAAGGCCCAAAAGCTCGGAGGTCAAAAAAGCACAGTTAAAACAACTAAAATCCTATAGCAATGGCCTCCAACCTACTAGCAAAAGGAACCGCCTCCAACCTACTAGCAAAAAGGAACCCAATAGGAATGGCCTCCAACCTAGTATCCGTTTTCGGGAAAAGAGTGGGTTACACAATGGGCAAACAGCTTCTTGAGAAACGCCTTCCAGCAAATTGTTGCGCCCCACGCAGGTGCGACAAAGTACATGCAGCCATTAGACGAACTTTTATGATGCTGCTCAGTGTATGTTGTAGTTGTTTTGTTCACCGAAGTACATGAGTGCAATTAGCCAATCATGGGCCTTAGTCAGAAGCTGTTGTTTGTTAGAGGATCCACGTTATGTTGAGTATGTTTTTTGCATTTTGCTGCAACTTCACAGTGGGACTAGGGCCCAGACAACCAGGGGAACCCTGGTTTGTCCTTCAGTTTCCTCCGGTTTGGAGGGCTTGATATTTTGGGAACTGAGCGGGCCAGTCCGTATCTCCCTAAAGATATGATCATAATTATGTATTATACCCTAGGCATCCAACAATGGTTTTTGCCGAACAACCAGGTAACTATTGTTTTAGTAAGGATTTTACACTACAACACCAGGCCGTTCCATTTAAAGAAGGTCTTGGAAGGTTTCATATATATATATAGATATGAGAGATTCTCGATCTTGGCCCTATCACCACTTGAAAGGACAAACACAAAGAAACTCGGCCAACACAACTAAGATTACTTGTTCATGTTCGTCCTTCGTACTGTGCTTTCTGGCCTTTGAAAAATGGACTGGTTTGTTTAGATCTGTTCTGACTGCGAAGGGCCTCAAACTGTTCAGGTTATTTGAGTGTCAACCTGAAAACTAGCAAGAGCTTATAAGGACATTAAAGAACTGAGCAATCTCCCTCGCGATGAGAAAGTTTGTGTAGACTTAAAGACTAGGCCAAGGCTCCATGAGTGATTTGGAGAGCAAAAACGCGAAACGCTCACCCCCACGGGGTTAGGCTGACCATGACAGTGCTTTGCCTGCATGGTCCTGGTACCCGGTACCCCGCGACGGACATCCCTGTTTGGATGATAGTGTTCAGATCTTGGGAGACGCTCAGAACTGCCCGTCGTCAACTCCGGCAGTTCTGCAAAATGCAACGCTGCCACCACCCTCGGTGCGAAGGGCCGAGAAGGGGAGGTTTCCGGTCGAATGCTCAAGGACGGCTCGATGGTGCAAGAGGGTAGAAGTGAAAGAACTCAGCAACCGTACTCAGAACTTAAACAAACACAGTTAATTATGACATGGTAGTTAACAGTAATATCGGATAATATGCGTGTCATAACTTCCCTCAAAGTTGTCCTCTTTCAGAAACTGAATGCACGAAGCCGACCGGCAGAGTTCTGCAAAACTGTGGTTATTGCTTGGTTCGCTGCTCCAGAATGAGCTCAAAAAAGCTGCTAGCATGGAGAGAACAGGTCTTGGACGTATTCGGACGTTATTCAGTTAGTTTTGTTTTGTTTTTGGGTCTTTGTCAAGTCTTGGTCTTGGCATGTTTAGAGATATTTGGTCGCTCTGAGGGAGTGATACCAATATTGAACGTTATAGAACTTGCATTGTCAAAGTGTGTACTCTTTGTGGGTGCCTAAAGACATTTTCATCACCAAAGAAGACTCCAAAAATGAAATAGCTATCCCGAATGATATCCACTCATGAAATCCTCAGGGAGTCCAGACATCTCCTGAGAGATATCTCAGATCTTCTCTTTTCTTCCCGTCTTCTGTTGCGTTTGTTGTCTTTCTGATTCTTCCCCAAAGTTCGCGATAAGAGACCCCAAAGTTCGCGAAAGTCCGATCTGGCCACCACACCGGACTTCAACAGCTTATAGGGGAATCTAGGCTGATTTTGGAGCTTTCGCGAGGAATCGCACACCTCGTGAGGTGTTCAACATCCGCGGCGCGGACGGCAGACACTGCCTTTGGTGTCTGCGGACACTTGTCCAAGGGTCCGGTCTCACCACCACAGCCAGCTGCTGCGCCAGGCAGAACCGATCCGATGTGGACATGTCTCGGTCACATCCAATCATCCACAGCATGGTAGTCGTTGGGTACCGAAATCGAAGTGAATGCAGAGCTGAGTTGTAGTGATACCTTGCCGACTTCTGCCAGCTCTCACACATGTGAAGCTTTGGTCACCTGGAGCCAGTTCCAGATGTCGAACGCAGAATCTGCGCAGAAAAGGGGCCATCACAGGGCGCAGACAACACACCGCCGCAGAAGATGGAATCCCAAGAACTCCGTTTCACATGTCTGTTCCTTTCTCAAAGTTTCCTATAATTAGTGAATTATGTCGTTGCCAAGTCTCTTTTGGGATGGAATAAGCGAAAGCTCAGTATGTTAGACTTATGCAGGAGTCTGTAGCCGACTTGGTCAAAAGCTACTGTATGATCAGACCGTTTCTTGAAGATTCTGACCCCAAAACACTGGGTCGGTAAGGGCACCAGCCCATGGTTTTGAAGTATTGCGTGGCAGTTCCAGTATGAAGGGCCTTGGGCGATGGTGCAGAAACCTTTCAACAGACCAATTGAATTACCCAAACAAGGTCTTTTCCATGTCTCTTCCATATATTTAATATGGCTGCTTTTTGTACAGGATTACTTTTTTGGGGGGGGGAGGGTGTTTGCCAGACGGAATCTTCAAACCAGGCACATCAGGCAGTTGTGTTTGCCACCCTCCCTCGTCAGTCACTTCGTCCAACATTTCGGTCGATCGATCGGCAGATTAACGAGACGGCGACGCCGCTGATGCTTGAGTCCGGGTCGCAGTCAGCTGGCGGGTGGGTTTCAGGTGCCAGGACGTGTTCGTCAAAAAGTGGGAGAAGTCAGTTGGAGGTTGGGGAATGGTTGAAGCCACTTGAGGCCAATTTTTCCAGAACATGTCGTCACCAAAGCTGGACTGTGCAACTTGGGATCTGCCCTGGGATTCATTTGGGAACATTGGGGATCGGTACGTCTTTGTTCGGGTCAGACCTGGAAAGAAAGCAATCCAAGGCTACCATCTGAATGAGAGAGAGAGAGAGAGAGCAAACTGCATATTTATCGATCCAAGCTTTGGAAGGCGGAAGGCTGAACAACAAAAACACACCATGTATACGCTTAAGCTTGCGTCATACGTGTTTATATGGTGCCAGAAAAAAGACGGTCAGGGCATGGCATTACGCATATGTTCGCATCATTAGACGCGCGTGGTCGCACGCGCGTCTCGCACGCGTTTCGAGCGGGAAAGCTGCCAGTTTCTCAGTGGTTCGAACAGGCCTGAAGACACTTCAGCCGATCCTGCACAGTGGATGATGACACCAGGCGATGGGGACTCGTTGGACTCTGGACTCATTAATGAATCGATCGACACGCGACCAATCTCCCGACAAAATGGCGACTATGACTCAATCTTCACTGGGAATGATTCATCTCCAATCTACTCCAGCAAGGGCTGGGTAGACCAACTGTCATGCGCGATGGTAGTGTTTGCTTTCAGACGGAAGTCTCCCGATGGTTGCCGAGTTCGCCGTGCGCGGTCCATAGTTCAACTGCACTTGAGGTCGCAAATCGGGTTGCGGACTGTCCTATAAGCCTATACTATAAACTATCGCTGCTAGTAGCAAGGGCATTACTACTAACAAGGGCAGTGATCAACAGGTGTTCGTGCTTGGCATCCGAAAAAGAGGACACCCTGGGACAAGACCGATCAGCTGATCGTTTACGCCCCGAATCTCCCAGCTGCAACCCCTCCACCACGCTGTGTGGAAAACAACAACCTGGTGCTTCGCCACCAAGCCCTACTGGGTCGGGGGGTGGTTCGCCGGAGGCTCCAACTTCACCTTGTCCAGACCCTTCTGGAACTGTGGACCGCAGGCCATCGGTTGAACCGATGGGGAACACGGAGGGACTGGAAACAGCTTGACTACAGCTTGACTGGCTCTTTGGAAAGCCCCTTTGTTGACATCACATCAAGTTGCCCAGCTTTTGAGTCGCCAACTAGAAGTTTCTGAAGAAATTCGCAGTAACGTGTCCCCATGTGCACCGAGAAAACACGAAAATCAAGAGGCATCATATTGCGTCATGTTTGACCTAAATGTTGCACGTGTGTCCCTCACATGGATTGCAACAGAAAATGACTGGTTTGCAAGGGGTATGACCATCATGTCACTGTGCAAGTATTTTGAAATTGGGTAGTGCTACTTATGTCTCACTGCAATTCCTTTCTTGTTCTGTGATCAGAGGCCGCCCTGCATAATTCAAGACTCCTAAAACCACAGCTGGTCATACCAAGGCCCCCCGTTTGGGCTGTCTATTCCATGGAAGTCCAAGACTTTTTAAAAGAGTGTAGAATCCTTAAAACAACATGACATTTATGGTGCTTGCAAGCCTAGGGGATTCAAAAAGCCGGGGGTTGAAGGGATCCAGGAACCATCCCCTTGTGGGCCCTTTCTTCCAAAAAAAAGGTGGTTCGATGATGTTTTCCACCATTTTGGATGGAATGATGCAGTCCCTCGCAGCCTCGCAGGTGGTCGAAGCAGGCCTTGGACAGGAGTGGTTTTACTGCAGTTGGGGTGCCTGAGAGATTGAGAAGAGTCGAACTGTTGCTATACTTAGTAGCAAAGGGCATCGCTACTAGGAACAAAGGGCATGGCTACGAGTCCGGAGCGTTCGGACGCTACGGAGGGGCGCTCCTGGCCTTACTACTAGTAACACGGACGCTACAATTCTGTTTTCAAGGGCAATTTCGGTGACCACCGAGAATGGAGAATGGAAGACGGGGCGATCGCTTCTGCCCCCCCCCATGCTCTCCTCCCACCCCACCCAACACATCCAGTCCAACTCCTCCCCTTCCAGGCCTTAAAGGTCCAAACTGGTCCGTTTTTTTTTCACCCAGGTGGCTTGTTACGTTTGGACGCGTCCGTCCGATCGCTCCCGGAATCGTCGCCCCGCGACGCGTCGTCGCGTCCGAACCGGAACGGCTCCGAACTCGTCGCGATGCCGCTCCTAGGTGGCTTGGATGGCACCATCCGCGTGGTGGAGCAGAGCACCGGTTGCCTGCTCTATGCCGCCGGGGGAACTCAGGGGGCGCCACCGGAGCACAACGCGGGAGGAAAGGTGGACGACTGGAATCGGAGTTGTTGTTTCGGTAGTCGTTTGGTTCTATATGAAGCTCCATGGTATGTTGGAAACATGTTTTATGTCTATATGGTTATGAAAAAAAACATGTCCAGTTTGCACTTGCCTAGGTTATTGAAGGCGCGATGCCTAGGCGCGGCTGCAAAGCCCTGAAGAGTCCCAAGGGGGACGAAAGCTAGGCATTTAATACCTTGCTGCAGTCGTAGAAAAGCTGCGTTGGGCTTGAGCGACCTGTTCTAAAGTTGTGGTTTACATCCTGTAATATCCTAATGTTGGATCCTGATTAGTAAAGGGGCCACCCCCCCCCTCAAACAAACAGGGGACTCTCTATAATGAACTATCACCAAAACAAATCTGGATTCCTGGTGAGGGATCTTTTGTAATTGATTGTAGTATTCATTTTCCTTTCATAGATTGTATTCAGCTTCCTTTCTCAGGTGCTTTGTAATTGTTCTTAATTAGGTTTCCAATTTAAAACTTTAGGGTCCCCAAAAAAGTTAGCATTATTCAGGACCCATTTTTCAAACAGGGGGGGGTCTAAATAAATTTGGAAAAAATTGCATTATAGAGGGACCCTTTACTAATCGAGATCCAACATTATAATATTATGTTTCTTTTACTCACTGCTCTTCATGTTTCCGTCTTAGAGTTTGTTGGCTTCCAGACATCCTTCTAGCTGTGCAGAAGCTGAATGTGTTTTTCTCCCGCTCACTTGCCTTGGTACAGCTGGTTCCGGCTGCTTGTTGCTTCCTTCTTTCGTCCATGTGATTTACAGTCATTATCCGGTTGTAAGAATTTCTTTGAAGGAAACACTTGCCATGTTTTAGATCCAGTTAGATCCAACATGATCAAGTCGACTTCAAAAAAACCAACAGCAAAGCCTGGTTGTACCGGGCGTATCGCTTTGTTCGGTTGGTGTATCGCTTCGACGGGCTTCAGGTGGCCTCGGTTTCAGGCGTGGCACTCTGAGTCGGAACGGAGAAAAGCGCTGGGGTTTAATCCTTTTAGGACTAAGGGCAGTCCGGCAGTCCGGAGAACCAATAGGTTCAACTGAATTGGTCACCTTTTCTGAATAGGCCCGAGCTGAATGCCGGCCCTCCCAAAAGGGGGGTACTGATGGGACGTCTCCTTTCACCTTTCACGTCCTTCTTTGGCTAATCCAAACCCCAGGTCAACATGGAAGTTTTGTGCATGTTCTCCAAGGTCAGGATCCCTACTTGTAGGGAGGAAGAATTTGATCGCTCCATCTACTCTGAATGGGTCCTGAAAGAAGGAAGTTCCAAGTGGAAAGCAGACGTGCCAAATTCTTTGACGCTTGTAGCCCGCGAAGATGAGCACATCCAGAAGGGGGGCGGGATCGGCTCACTGGATTAGAGGAGATATATATTATATGAAAATCAGGAACCAAAGAGACTACCAGAACCCAAGGTCTGGGTGGTGCATGGACACCCCGAATCACCTTTTTTTAGAGGGTTTTGGTATAGACTTGCATGTGAACTGCCCTCATAAAGACTTCACTCAATGGTCACTCCGTTTGGTGCGTGCCATCACGCGGCACGTGAGAGGCAACACCACTCGAGTCATTGGGATGTGGGGTGGCCTAGAAGTCGAAGGACTTTTGCACGTACATAAAAACACATATAGTAGCTTCTTGTTCCTAGTAGCGATGGCCTCCAACCTACTTGTGATGGCCTCCACCTAGTAGCTTCTAGCTATTAGTAGCTTCTTGTTACTAGTAGTAATGGCCTCCAACCTACTAGTGATGGCCTCCGACCTACAGTAATTATAGCACTGGCCTCCAACCTAATAGTTTCTTGCAAATCGATGGAGAGTCCAAGAGTCCTCTGTGAGAACGAGGACGAACAAGGACGATGAAATCTGGCAGCCTCAAAAGGTTGATATTGTTTTGGTTGGAAGGTCCCAGTATATGGTCACATCTCTCATGCCCCGCAGTTTCAACCTGGGTGTTCTCTTCCTCAAAATCAGCGAGTTGACTTCCTTGGACTGACAAGACCCACCACAACAAAGACACACAAATCCGTTCAAGATTAGCTGGACGGAGAAAGAAAAACAAGTCCAAGGCCACCTGCGAGGGAAGGAAACAAAATACGTTGAAGATTGAGGAGCTGAGGAAACAGAGCCAGAGATGTGGATCACAGTGATCACAGGTCTCTGAAGTCTGAGCAAGTGACCGAGAATGAGGCCGGAAGAGGATGAAAGATCACCTAAAGAAAAAGGGATCATATTGTAGTACATGTCACACCAAAAACTTCACATTCACTGACCTCTATTTTTGACCAACCACCTATAATTTGTTTTTTTTCTATCAAAACTGGGTTCCAGGCCAGGCTTATGTGGTGCATGATGCCCGATTTACAAACCCACCCACCACCTTGGTGCTTCTACGTACCAACACCTCCCACATGTCCGCTCCTCCGTGTTTGTCGCTATGAGCTACTTGACTTCGACCGAAGGACGGCGGTCGAGGATCACGAGCAGTCGAAAACCGGTGGAGCGATGTGTTGAGGCCAAGTGAACAAGAGCTGCTGGTGCTGGACGGCAACGAGGCATGTCGGATCACGTGGAGACGGTTTGCACGTCCGGGAACGGAATCGAAGCATGTGAGAGTCTGCCACGTGAATCAAAGCCTCAGATGTCTCAGACATGATCTCTCTTAGGTGTTAAGAATGCAGTTAATTAACTTATTCTTGGAGTCACACCTTCATCGCGACAATTCTACCATCTACTCCAGGCCTTTTTCCCTCTTCGGTCAGCCCCTTTTCGGTGGTTTTTGCGGCCCGGCCGAGGTGCTTTTGTGGCAGTTAGGCGAGAAAGCCAGCAAGGACCGGGTTTGCACGTCACCGATGGCCCTCATCGATGGAGGTCGGTGAGACTAGGTGAAAGATGGTGCTAGGCCAGCGCCAGCTACTTAGCTTGGTTATTGGAAAGAGAATACCAAGATGTCGGAAAGAAACAAACATAATCCGAACTGTGTGGTGCTGCTGCAACATTGTGCGAGGACCTGTGCTAGCCACCTAAGTGTGTGGCTCTTTGCCTTAGGTGTGAACCCCTCGATGACTCTGGAAATGAAAGGGGTACACTCCAAAGCACTGATGATATTGCAGTACTATTCTTCCAGAATCGTTGATTTTTTTGTGAAATTCCTAACATATCTTTGCAACATGTTCTGGAAGCTCTACCCTCCGAAGTGTTTGACACCAAAACATTGGATTCGACCGGTGTCGGACCCACGATGTCGGGCTCACCGCATCGCGCAGCTCGTTCGTTCGTTCGGTCGCTTGCGTCGCCCTTGGAGTACCGCTACAGGAGACTCCACCACCGCTTCCGCAGCTGGAATGTCGATTGCCCGGGCGCCCGCGCATCAGGCGGCGCGAGCCGCGCAGATGCGGCGGCGGCGCGAGCCGCGCCGCTGTGAAACAGCGTCAGATCATGTCAGATCCTTTGTGACTTGGGTGATTTGTTGAGACCTGGAAGTGTCCATTCCTTTCCTCAAGGTAGGACTGGAGCGAACTCGGACGGGCTGTAGACGGCCAGTGGACGGCCAGGGTGGTCGTGGGAACAGTCCATTCCTTGCCCGAGTGATTTTCGATGGGACGCGGAGGAGTCTGCGGTCCATGTGTGGACATGTGTGGACAGTTGATTTGAAAAAATATGAAAAAATATCACAAACAAACTAATCAGAAGGGTTTTACATTTGAACATCCGGGGCGTTTAACTAGTTCTACTTACATACATGTAATTATATACCAGGACCCTCCTGTCGGGGTGAGGTAGTGTGGGGTAGTTCATTGGACACCCCGACAGGAGGGTCCTGGTACATATATGTTTTATGAGTCAACCGTTTAGATCTGGCCGCCATCCTCATGGCTCTTGTTTCACGTAGTTTGCTCGAGCATGCTCGAGCGACTGGGCGTTCGAAGTGACTGGGGGTTCGTGAGCCGAGGTTGAATGACAAGTTTGTCTCAGAGGTCATGACCGGCAGGCGCTCCAACGGACTGCGAGCTTGAAAGACTGCGATTCAGCTCGGTGAACGGGTCGTCCAGACAAGGAAGAAGCGACCCGAGGTCCGCATGCGGACCTGCATGCGGACCTGCATGGGGGCTGTTCATCATGTGGGAGTTGTTCATCCGAAACATCCGCATTTGAGTGTGGGTTCCTTTCACCAGTTCAATGAGGAAGTTCGAGAAGAGAAGATGCACCCTCGACGATATACTAAACCCCTACCTTGAAGTCCTTTGAATGCCTGTGGGATCACTTTTGTTTGAGGCAGGCTAACTGAAATCGCTGCGGGTCAATGCTAAACAATGCTGAAACAACTCCCCAGTCGACTGCTGTGCTTGCAAACCGGCTGGGTCGTCTATTTTTATTGACACCTTGGCGTGAAACTCCCGTTTCACAAAGACTCACCAGCACCACATGAGTGTGTATGACGTGCGATTATAGGGAAAACACTGCCCTTCCCCCCCTTCCTTCCAGGTTCGGGAAAAGGGTCGACCCTACGCCCCTACGCCCTTTGGCTTGGGGGCACCCGCACCCGAGGGGCCACTGGGGCGGGACCAACGCACAGCAGGCGTTCCAGCAAGGACGAGGCGAGCTGCGACTTGCCGAAGGATCTGAAGTTCCACAGGCGCGATACTCAGCAGGGAGGGGAGTGATTGGGGTGAAAAGTAGCAAGAACATGGTCATACTGATTCATACTTGATTTAGAAGTAAGACGTGGATCAATCAGTGAATCAGGAGACGTACGTACTGTAATTGGAGTGGGAATGGTCCGCAGGGATGGTGGACCATTGAACCGCTGCAAAACATGAATTACAAGATCTATGTGACTTATTGTTTCTAATAGCTTCTTGTTACTACTAGTAAGGCACTTGTTACTAGTAGCGATGCACTTGTTCCTAGTAGCTTATTGTTTCTATGTGATCACCAAATTCTTCTTGTCTAAATGACAAAGTTCGACATGGTGACAATCTGCCGGGCAGCACTCTCCATGCTGCCCACAGGCTTGGTCAAAATCTGCCGGCTGCGACCTATCCCGTGATGAGCTCAGCAGATTCGGTCGACCAAGAGGCCCAAGGACCGAATGACTAGTCGCTCTGCCGTTGGATTGAACTCATCCTACAGCTCCGCTGACGGTTGACCAGTTGGCCCTGGTGCCGGAGGGCCGACCGTGCTTCAGGCTTGAGAAAAAGACACCAAAGATGGGAACAAGTCAGGATGAAGGTCCAAGCAGGGAAAGACCCAGATCAATCCCTTCCATCTTTAAGACAAAGAAACTGTTCTTCCCCACACACCCACACGCAAAACAAATTACTGAAAGAGTTGTTTCGGCCTTTTAAATAGGGTGGGACACTGACACCCTAATGGGACCTTCAAAGATGGGAGCTTGGTTGGGAGCTTCAGAACCAAAAAGTCGCTTCGGATAGTTATATATCAACTCCTTAGTTCAACTCGTATCAAAGATAGACGAAACAACAAGGTCCTCTTCCGTTTAGAAGAGCCTTCATGAACGTACTGGATCTATATTATTCACGTAAAGCTTCCATCAGACAAACACAGCAACCATTGATATACGATAAGAAAACCTACCCAAAATTGCTTTGAGGGCATTGATGGGCATTGTATTGCAGTACGCATTGAACAGTAAGGTGAGTAACTTCAAATCTTTGGCTTTCGGAAGCATTGGATGGGATGCTTCACACTGTTCGCTGAAATCACGGCAGGGCAGGGCGGCAGGGCTTGATAGGAACATATAGGAACCTTCTCGAGATGATGTTCCAAGCATGCCTTTTGCTTGGGCCTTTTGCTTCGTTGGGCATGCCTTCGACCAGAGACGGTTCAGATGCGTCGAGTCGTTGAGACGGGTCGTTCCCGAGTCGTCGCGCCGAGTTTGTGACGCCTGTGGGGCAGCAGATGCTTCAAGTGCGTGAGGGGCCGAAGCAGAGGAGAGCGGAACGTGTGGTTAGTAGCTTCTTGTTACGTTCGTAGCTACTTACTCCTATAGTAGTACGGCCCCGTTCGTAGCGTTCTTGCTCCTAGTAGCGATGCCCTTTGCTCCGAACGTAGCTGTTACTGGGCGAAGAGGTAGACCATCTCAAAGCGCTCCTTTGTAGGCACTTGTGGGAAGGATCGCTGAAGCTGTGATTCTTTGAGAGGCTACTGCCATTGGGCCCAAAGAGCAATCCGATAAACAAACCCACTTTCAAACGTTCAATTCTACTAACTTCAAGAACGACATGCGCAAAGCAACAAGGAAAGCACGAAATGTGACGACGGCACACGTGGAAAACCTCCGCCTTGCCAGTGTCAGGTCCGGCTTCGCGGGCTGCGGATTGGCTCACAATCGGAAGCAGGAAGCAGGGACGGAATGACTCGTGTTGAGAATTTCCAGTTTATAAGGGACCAGGGGTTCCTGGGGTTGTCTAAATATAGCTTCAACATATCAAGGAAAGAAGATAATATCTCTGTGGGTCCTTGGAATTTGGAATTCAGAAGTTTGTTGGGCCAGTTCCTCCAAGAACTGTGTGTCCATCAAATCCAAGCTTGACCTCGCGATTGGAACATCGAAGTTGAACGACCCAGGGTTTTGAACGATTTGGTTTTCATCTGGCAGAAAAATTACATGTTGAACATGTTCAAACATGCATGGTTTGCCAAGGTTTTTTGCATTGGAGATGTTCAAAGATGGAATTGAGTTTTGCTGGGCAAGGGTGGGCAGTCTGCTATACCACACTTTAAGATCACTGCAGGTCATTTTCATTGATGAGAACCGCCATCGTGCAAGAAACAGCCACTTATCACGGCCAGGAGAAACAAAAACCACATGAGTCTCACGCTTACTCCCCAGCTCTGCAAGACAACTGCCGGTGAGGATGAACTTTTTGCCTCAGCTCCGAGTGGTGGATGTCTATCCAGCAGCCGCAGCTTGGGGTCCCAGAGGGCGCCCCTCTGGGGCCCCAGAGGGCCCCAGAAACCTCGATCGAAAGACCGGTTCCTGATCTTTGCTTTCCAGAGTTGAAAGTGGGAAAACTCATGAGTTGTGCAGGGATCAAACATGTACTCGTTACTAGTATCCTGGAGCACCGTTTTATTTGTGCATCAGGCGGTGAACTTGGTCACAGAGACCTTTGAGGGCTTGCGGCCGGCTTAGTTTGCGACGCTTTTTGGGGTCATGGGTGTTGTCTACGTATAAAATGTAGGGATCCAAGTACCTTCTGAGAAGGGGATTGGAAACACTGGTACCTTCTGAGAAGGTACTTGGATCCCTGTTGTCACTGGGGAGAAGCACTTGGTCGACATTGCAAAAGCTTGCACGACACTCCCTGTCCTACAGTCCTCCCTGTCCTACTCGAGCAGAAACACGGTGTTTTCACTCGTGAATCAAGTTTCTTGGCGACGTTCATAGCTTCTTGTTCCTAGTCATGCACTACGTTCGGTTCGCGTCCTTTTGCTCCCGACTCGTAGCGATGTCCTTTGTTCCGTTCGTAGCTTCTAGCTACGTTCGTAGCAACAAAAGACATCAGGTGATGTTTCCCTTCAGAGTTCTGTCGCCTCCACCAATTGGGCATAGCACACCGAGGGCGCGCTACGCGCGGCGCATGTCAGAGATCGACGGCACCATGGTGGCCGGCGTGCTCAGGTGGTGGCTCAAAGGAGTTCTTTGCAGAAAAATCGACGAGTTTTCGATACAACACTTGTTGTATGTTTCTGGCGTTTCTTGTATTTTTTTTGCGGAGTGAGGAGTAATTACGGACCTTCACCTTTGAGATCCACAAGGTTTCAAATCCACAAGTTCTTTTTGGGGATATGCCAGTTGTTGTGGGGCATGCTTGAAAGGAAGAGAATAGGACTTGATATCCCGTGACAACAACTGTTGGGGTGTTGCCTGCCTGCAGCTGTTTGTTGTTTCATTTTTTCACATCGACCCGACTGAACTTCAAGTGTGCCTACGGGGAAACTCGTTGGATCTCTGAGAGATTCGTGGAGATATGCAAGGTAGTACGCATAGTCCTGGACGGAGAATTCCTCAAAAACTAAAGGCAGTAAATAGCGTAAATAGTACGTATAATATACATATATATATATATATATTTATATATTAATTATAGATGTAAATGTTATAAGGTAATATATTATATCTGAACATTTTTTCTACTTACGAGTAACTACCCTAGGCTTCATCGACTATTAATTAAATAGCCTTCCCGGAAAGCATGTTTTTATTTTTCCAAAACAAGGACTATTTTCTTGCCTGCTATTCCTCCTTGCCTCCGGCCCAGCTCAAGAGCCGTAGACAAACCGTAGAAGGGACCATCTTTTGGCGTAGAACGTCCGTGTTTTCCACCGGAAGAGGCATGTAAACCTGGCCTCACAAAGCATTACGGGTCAATTGAGAGGAAGTTGATTAAAAAAAACACACTCACATGCTTTTCCACAAAAACAAGATGGAGCCCACGAACCCGAATGCAAACACATACGTCAAACCACTGTGTATAAAAAGAGACACAGCCGGTGGGAATCTCTTTTTCACTCTCTGACACGTTGTTGGACATCATGCGCTGGGGACTCCACCACCAAGGCAGCATGCGCTGGGGACTTCACCACCAAGCTCTGTCTTCATCATGAAGGATTTTTGTTTTGCATTCAAATCAAGCACTGGCGTAAAGGGTCTGGCAGATCCGCGGCACGAAAGAAACAATGGCATTGTCCCAAAATCTCGAAAATAAGCACTTGAAAATGATAACCGTCCCCATAATACAGAGAAATCCACAATTGCGGCGTCTGATCTTCTTGTAAATAGGAGTGCAAGACCGTGCGTTGTTGTGGTTCGCCTGCATCGACAAGAAGTATATGAGACACACACACAACGGAAGTGAGTAAAACTATCCTATAGGTCATGTCATTAGGACACTCTTGTAGGACACTCTTGTGGGACACTCTTAGAAGACACTCTTGTGGAACACTCTTGTAGGACACTCTTGTGGGACACTCTTAGAAGACACTCTTGTGGAACACTCTTGTGGGACGCTCTTGTAGGACACTCTTGTGTGACATTCTTGTAGGACACTCTTGTGGGACACTCTTGTGAGACACTATTGTGGGACACTCTTGTAGGACACTCTTAGAAGACACTCTTGTAGGAACACTTTTGTGGGGGGGCAGCGCCTCATCTGCGCACACAGATTTGGCTCATCTGCGCACACACATTTTGTTAGCACGTGCGCCTCATCTGCGCACACAGATTTGACTCATCTGCGCACACAGTCCATGGGGGAGACTCAAGTGCGCACACAGGCCCTTTCCCGGATGTTTGCTTAGTTAAAAGGGTCGTCAAGATGGAACGGCCACTTCCTCCTCTAAATTTTACCCTCGGGTGGCTCACCAAAGGGTGAGTCAACTTGGAATGACCACTTCCTTCTCTAAATTTTGCCCCTGCCGGGCCCACAAAAGGGTGAGTCAAGCTGAAATGGCAACATCCTTCTCTAAATGTTACCCTCGGGTGGCTCACCAAAGGGTGAGTCAAGTTGATAGGACACTCTTGTAGGAAACTCTTGTGGGACACTCTTGTAGGACACTCTTGTGGGACACTCTT